GGGTGATTTCTGGGAAAACATCATGGAAGTCCGAGGTCCAATAGCTTCCTAACAGATGAGACTTCTGATTAGAGAGGCCCCTGAAAGGGCTGAATTGGTACCCGCTCCGGATCTGGGAAGGGAGGTGCAGGAGCCTGCCAATCGACCTTTTTTAGGGAAAGACACTGGTTCCGAGCAATCCCAAGGATTTCAGATGCAACTGGAGCTCGTCAAGCCGATAGATTGAACACCTCTTTTTGCGCGAAGGAGTCAAGGAGAAGACCAAAACCAGTGGCAGATCTGTGTCCAAATCCAGCCTGTTGCCAAGATGTTAGAACAAGGCCCCCCCCAAACCTACTTTGTACGAAACGCAAGGCCAGGACATTGTGAGGTGAACTTGCTCATCATAAGAAATTGAGGTCCAAGTTCATAAGTTCTCCGAATCCTGCAACAACAGAACCCTACTAGGGGCGCTCCTCTCCCATGGCCCCTACTAGAGCCCGGCCCTCGGATGCATCCTAGGACGATGTGCTGCTGGACTTCCTCCGTTCGGCGCGAGACCTGCACAGCTTGAGCCTGGTGGGGGCGTTGGGCGATGGTTGGGGCTGTTTGAACGCGCTGGTGGAGGAAAGGCCTGGGGGTTCCACGGATCGGATTCGGATGGTGTGGGTGTGTAACAGGGACACTCCGATCTCGGCTCGGGGGGTAGACTGGGTCGACTGGTCTATGAAACATTTCTTCCAAAAGCATCAGAACTGCAAGGCTTTTCCCCTGCACGCATGCACGCCCCTGTGGTGATGTGCGTGCTTCGCGGGAGGTCTCAGGGTTGGGCTTCGAAGGCGAACAAAGCACCTCGATTTCGCGGACGAAGGTGGAGAGACGCGACGGTCGAGTTTGGGAGAAGAACCTGATGCCAACATGGCGCGAGAAAGGTCCAGAGAAATGGTCCTAGATTTGCCTGGCATGGACCCCTCTATGATTCCCAAAAGGTTGAACATCATTGCTTGAGGGTCCAACCCCCCCGAACATTGTCCCCCAGGATGGAGTCCGGAAAACGGAACAAACCCCGTTTCGACGGACTGAACGGACCGAGTTACTTGCTGACACTCGGATTGTCAGGTGTGGCCGCCATGGGACCTCCCCTATAAGTATCTGTAGGAATCCTAACCCTGTCCCACCCTGAGTTTCCCAAAAGCACCAGCCTTCTTTGTTTTTGCAACCCTGTGATTGGAATCGCGGTGTCACACCTGGCCCCTACACACGGCCACGGCTCAGTGTGGATGCCTTGGCGCCCAAACTGGAGCTGTTGGAGCTTTCGGAGCAATCCTGCGCCTTTGCTTCAGCCCGGATGGATGGGGGGTCCGTCCGTTTGTTTAGGAGTGTGTGAATATACGCAGAGCGGAAGCAAAGCATGGAGAACACATGACAATGATAAGCCCAATTAAGAAGAGGTGCAGAGGAATTTACAGAGTTTGTTTGCACTGCTTTCAAGCTTTCTGAAAGAGTTGAGGCGCGGAGGAAATTCCACTTGATCAATTTGTTCGGTGAAAAGGGAGCTGCCTGAAGTTCCAAATATGTCGAAGATGGCGAGGTTCAAGTTGACTGGTTTGGTGCCTCCAGAACTGCTTGTTTCACAGACCACCACACAAACGGGTTGCCAGTTTGCAGGGGGCAGTGAACTTCAGAATGAGACCACCCATTGATCCATTGTTAAAGTGAAGGGTGAAGATTGGATGGCCGAGTACCAACCACATGGCACGGGATGGAACCGTTTTCGAAGCCCGCATATGGCGAGTCGCCAGTGTTCGATTCACATCCCCTAGTCACGATGCTTTAGCAAGTGAGGGGCTGGAATCCTCGAGATCGCCGCATCACGTGAACACTTCATATGTAGAGGCCCCCCCCCCCGCGGGTTCAACTCCCCCCTTAGACGGACACCTCTTGGACACCTCTTATGGCATCCACTTTGGTTCAACTCCTCCGTGGAGGTTTTGGGATACGATGCAACAGATTCAACAGATTCACAAGCTAAGGTTGGCTGTGTCATTGCTGTTCGTGTGTCTTACCATGTTCACAACGTTTTACCTCATGAGCGAGACCTTGTGAACCATCCCTCCAACAGCCCCTTGCCTCACTCCGCTTGATGTCCCACCAGTCCTTTGTCACTGGACGGTGCTGTATGCTTCGCCTCCACTGACACGGATGCATCCCTGCTAGCTTTCGTCACCTACCCTCGGCCTCAAGTTGGTTGCCCTCTCCCTGAAGACCAGCATCCCATGCTGGTCCTCGGTCTGAAGTCCTTTCAGGGATGCTCAAGGTTTATCAAAAACACAGTTCTTGTTCGAAACACACATGAGTAATCATGAATATTTTCTTTCACAAAATTGATCAATTTCACTACTCCAGCTCCTTGATTGCGCAGACCAGCTCTTTCCTTTTCACCCAGATCAGTTTCCTTACTTCGGCCATCTTCTCCAGTTCTTCTCACCACCCACGCTTTTCCTCTCCGCGGCACCCGCGCCGTGTGCCGTGCAGTGCGCCCACTCCACACGGTGCACCGAGGCACAGGGCTGGCGTCGGCCTTCTCGGTCGAAAGCTCTCCCACAGGATCCACCTTCCTCCAGCGGAGCACGGGGCGAGTCCGCGCGACGCCCGCGGCGCGCGGGCGTCGCGTGCGGCTGTGGATTGTGACGAGTGGAGAACACCTGAGCCCTTATGGACGCATGGAACGGATGGATGATTCCTGGTTGCCGGCCATGCGCTGAGGCACAAGCGTCGGTCTAAGTCGATCGGGGTGTCTGGTACGCAGATGAGAATGAGATTCTGAACCGGGCAACTTGATTCTGCCTTTATGAGACTTGGCAGCAGGTACCTCTTCATGGAGAGATGAAATCCGTGGTCATGTCCCACCGGCGTGGTTTGCCGCTGGGAACTTGGAGCCGAGCCCGCCACAAAGCCAGCAGACTTGCGAGGACCTCCAGGGCTTAGGAGATCCGTTGAGTCCAAAAGGAGATTGGCGCCTGGATAGCAGCTCTTGGTGCCCAAAATGGCCCCAGACAGCAGAGCGGGTGGACGATGTATGAGAATGTCTGGTTGAACGATGTGGAGTGGACAGTCATTCACTCGCTAATGGGCAGTCACTTGCGTTCTCATATGCCAGGTGGCAAGTGGATAATGACAAGAATGTCCGATGAGGTCCCAATTTCAGCTTTGACTGTAGAAGCTTTGTTCCGCCTGCCCGCGAAGCAGCAACTCTGACAGTGTGCAAACCAATTTTCTGCCTTGCTGAACCTGCACTTCCGCTGCGGGGCCAAATGCAAGAGTGACACTTACCAGACTGGTCTACAGACTTGGAGGCCAGGAAACCAAGGCCTGCTTGCAGGCCTCATCAAAGGCCGCAGTGCTCCGACGGTTGACAGGTCGACGGTGGGTTCCACACATCATACCCTAAAGAACCTCAAGTGTCCGGGTATGGTGTTCCAGGAATCATGGAAAGATGCCCTTCAGCATGTCTTATGAGAATCAGCATGTTGACATGTTAGACATGTTCTTCTCATTTCAGCGTTATTTTTTCGCGAGATGTGCAGAGATGTGCAGAGATGTGCAGAGTGATTTTTTCTAGCACTTCGAGGGTCAAGACACTAAGAATGAACCTTGTTCGCTCGAAGAAGAATTGGACCTCGGCTTGAAGAAAAGGCCTCGAGGACTGCTTTTGGGGATTGTGACAAGGCGATGGGGTGTATTCCACACACTTACTGTAAATGGATTCTTGCCATACCATACATGGCATTAATTTTGATTGGTTTATTTAAGAGCAAGCAATAGGCAAATGAATATGTTCTTCTTTTTTTCCAAGAGGACATCATTCATTGATTCTTGCAATATCAACGAAACTCTTCAACCAATTTGGAGTCTACACCAGTGTTACTTTCCGATTCTACGCCACCACCACGCACCCTGTTGTTACTTTAGTGGTTTTAAGCGTGCATTTTGTTTCTTTGGAAGGCAAGCAGTTGGTGACCAAGAATTCAAGATTGTTTGTTTTACTTGCGACCTGCAGGCGCAGTGAATTATGCATTTCATATCCGCCCAAACGGTGAAAGTTCCATTTGTAAGTTTTTTTGTCAGTCTATTTGGGGTCTGGTGAAAGTTGATCAGGCAAGTCTTGTTCCTTGCAGGGTGGGTTTGTATCGTTTTTTTTACCTTAAATTATGTTCAAAAGATTCGATAGATTTCACACATTTTTGTGAGCAGCCAGACACTTTCCCTTGAGGCTTCGGTGCGAGCCAGGACTGGTCTTTGTACACCTCTCACACCTCATATCCTGCAAACACCCCGGAGGCATCACCCCCAAGCCCATGTTTTTTCACGTGACTACTGGATGAAAACATACATCAATGACTATGCCGTGAAAATAGATGACCCTGTGGTGAAATCGAAGATGATGGGAAATGGATTACACTGTTCTCCACATGACATCCACGTCATCCTTCCGGCACGACCCATTCACCCATCTTCCCCCTGCCAACCCAACCCCATCTTCCCGGGCCAACACCCCCCCGTTGAGCAAACCTGGAGTATCCCTGACCTGGAGTAGGGCGATGCGGAGGCCCGATGCCTGCTGAACTGGTGCCCAAACTACGTCCCCGATCACGTCCTTTCGACCAAACCACCTTTCGACCAAACGGGTGGATGAGAAAAGGGGCAAGTTGAGGCCCAAAGGCTCAGAAAGGCCCCGTTTCCCAATTTTTTCGGTCCGGGTCAAATGACCCTCTGGTTTGACAGCTCGGGTTTTGGAATCTTCGGCAACATGTAGTATATAGCTGGTTCGGATCCATGAGCTTCTAGGTGGCGTATTCTTTCAACCATCTGCAAACCAAGAAAGGCGGTGAGTGAAAGGTTGTGAGTCAGTTGTTTGAGAGAAAAGAAGGTTCGGCACTTCTCCTCTTCTGGTCGTGGCTTCCTCGTGGCTTCCTCGTGGCTTCCTCGTGGCTTCTCCACTGGTCGTGGGCGACATCCAGGTACAGACATGGAGGGGATTTCTGCAATCTTCACTCCGACCAGCTGCTCGGACGGATCCAATCTCGGTGGGAAGCGAGGAGTGACCCTGGTGGAAAACCACCAGAGGCCACTCCTGGATGAAATCAACCTCAAACCTCACCATTTTGGGGGAGTGTACAACCTTTGAAAGGCCTGGCAGTGTTGAAGTCTCATCAAGAGTACATGAGGCCTCCCAATAGGAGCCGTGGAGACTAAAAACACCGGGAACAACTCTGAGATCATGGAGACTGCCACTCGGCTCACTGGGCACACGTGGCCGCCTTTCTAGTGACAGATCCATTGGATCCACCTTTGGTCGTCGTTGGTCATCCACCCAGACCGGGGCTGGGAGTCGGTGGAACGCAGAGCGACGCTCTGCCGGGTGCCAGCCTAGCACGCCGGCGCGCCCTGCTTGGTGCAAGCGCTGTGGGTCAAGACCTGGAGCTTGAGAGCAGGGTAATTAGGTTGACCTCCCAGGCGGGAGTCTATTCTGTTCACGCGCTGACGAGTCAAATCCCTGGGGTGACACGTCTTGTCCACGACACACTGATCGTTGAACAACAAGTTGCACAAATTAGGGCAGCTACAAAAGATGATCGAAAGAGAAGGTCCACGAATCGGCGAACCTTCCAGCACCCCCCGCAAGGATGCGAGCAAAGGCATGGAGCTCATCCAGAGCAAAGAAAGGGAGAGCGCCCACAATGGCTCCCTGTGGAAGAACTCGTCCAATGCATTTGGTAGCACGGGCAGTAGGAACCCCAGGGAGAGCAAAAGGCGTCCTCTGGATCGTAACAATGCACTTCCGAAGTTGCAGCACAAGATCTTGGAAATGAGGAGGTCGTTGTCGGAGGCGAAACCCTCTCTTATAAAGCAGGAAAGCAAGTTCCTGGTAAGTGCACAACACTCCCTCTTGGACTCTCCAATGCAGCGATTGGAAAAAGGCCAAGACTGTGTGCCAATCGTCGATCCCAAAAAGCACTTTCGGAGGAGGGGATTCCAACGGGAAATTGAGGGTGATGTTGAATTCACTGACATCGATCTCCCATGCCAATCCAGGAAAGCACATCCTAGGGTCTTGAAGTTCCTGTTGCTTAGACGATCGTGGTTCGAAATGTAGATCATCCAGACATTCAGCGCCAATATGCTTGTTGAGGAGCGTGAGAACCTCTTGTTGATGCAATATAGCAGAATGAAAGAATTGTTTGTCACCTGGTGCTATCGCACATCGTGCGAGGGCCTGCTGCTTGGCAATTCTGTCGGCTTGACGATTGAGTTCAATATGTTTGCGCGAAGTACCAAGCTGTGCGATTCGGTCAGCTGAAACCATCGAAACTGGTATGTGGTCATCAACATGTGCCGGGATCCAAACCATCCTGATAACATCATTGCAGCTGTGAGGGCTTCGGATGTTTATGAGTCGCAGAAGAAACTGCCACCACTCCAAGTGCACATAGTTCCCTGGTATAAGGCGGTTCTCAACAAGGGCGTTCACTTTAGTGACAACTTCACGACAGTCACTGTAAATGCACAGGCAGCAATTTGCCCGGGCAGCTGCAACAACAACAGCCCAGAGTTCTGCAGAATACGAGGACAAGGACAAGTGGGAAACAGGCCCGGCAGCGAACGTGGTACCGTTTTCCTGTATAACGGCAAACCCAGCTGCAGTGAGCGGAAAACATTCGCCCCAGAAAACAGAGCCATCAGTCCATAGTGAAAGAATATCATCAGGGTGGTCGAAGTCACGCGGTACTAGGTCAGCTGCACGATCAGTACGCAAACGATGCCAGATTATTGGCCATGGGTGCTCAATAATGCCAAGTTGCTGGAAGTTGGAGCCAAACTCATGTGGAGGTCCAAATTGAAATTGTCTGTGGGCAACCGGGCAGCCCAAAATGTGCACCAAAGACTCCTTCTCATGTAAGCAGAAACGACAAGAACTGGTGTCTGAGTAGTTGGCTGCAAAGCGGCGATCATTGGTAATAGTACAGCCAACCTGCTGAGCTTCGAAGAAAGAGAGCAAAGGCGGACCATGAGCTGTCTGCGCAGCAGCCTGTCTACCATAGAGCTTGGTGTGAAAAACATCGATGAACCCTTCCGGCTTGAAGAAATCTTTACGATTGAGATTTGCTGGATGCGAATAATGTACCTGCACTGCAAAATGTTTGAGAACAGGAGTGATGTCACGTACAGAGATCTCACGCAAAGAAATCTTTGTGTCTTTCCCGAAGCCAATACACAATGAGTCATCAAGACAGAGGCCAAAGGTGGCAAACGCATTTTGCACATTCCCAACCAGGGTGTGTCTGCCTGCCTTAGGGAGACGTGCAAGTCGACAGCAGCGATCAAAGGCATCACACTCGTGTTGGAGAAAACGGACAAAGTCTAAGATGGCACAAAAGGAACGGGCTACAAAAGGGTCATTCCTGTGAGGCTGCGCAAGCAGACCTAAAACAAGGTGTTTGGCTCTCCAGTGCGGTCGCTGACCCCAGAGCGCTTGCGTGATTTCGGCTTGGATCTTGTCGAGGGTTGCTTTAGGGATTTTGGTTATATGGGCAGCAAAGGAACACTGTGGGATGACCTTGGACCCAATAAGCTGACATTTAACAGAACGCGGGAGTGGCAGGGCTCCAATGTTGCGGATATCACCACAGATCTTCTGGGCCTTTTCATCAGCAAAGTCAAAAGCAATACGCTGCGAGGTATAAATCTTTGTACCCAAAACATCAAAAGTCTCCTGAATTAAAAACCCAGGGAACTCAGCTTTGGCAATCTTCCGGGCAGGACCATTGGAAGCCCAGACAACAGATTTATCTTGATTAAGCTTCTGACCGACCAAGGAATCCCAAAGCTTAGTGACTTCAAGGGCAAGCCTAAGTTGAGCAACAAACTGGATTTTTGCCCAAAGATAGATGTCATCAATATAAATGCGGCAAGACAGGTGGGGAACATCACGGAGGAAGGCAAACCACGATCTCATGTAGGCATTAATGGCTATCAATGAGAACGAACATCCCTGTGCAACTCCGTTCGGAGCTGTGGTGGGTGTTCCAGAGGTCCACCCCCTATACGAAAGATGTTTACGGAGCCCGATGTATTGCCTAACAAAAATGCTGACGACTGCTTTGGAGCATCCAAGTGCCAGCAAGATGATAGCAACAAAGGCTGGAATAATGCGATCAAAACACTTACTCTTGTCGAGCTTGATCCCAACAATGGCTTCATCCGCAATGGCAGCTTCATCAAGCTCAAGTCTGAGTTTGGCAGGGATGGCAGTCATATGTCTGCCTGCAATTCCACCCACAATCGACGGGGGCATGGTAGAAGCTTGCCAGTCCTTAGCTTGCCGAAAGCGTGAGCCCGTGTAGGCTAGCAGCAATGGTGGCAAGATGGTAATGAGCCGTTTATTCAGTGGGGATGAGGGTCCTGGTTTATTAAGGATCACGATCTTGGCAGTAGTTAAGGCAAGTGGGATCGAGTGATCAGCATTGGCTTCAAGTCTTCGGAAAAAGGCTGCAACAAGCTCACAGACTTCGAGGGGGAAAGCTTGGAGTTCTGTAGTTCTCCAGCCATCGAGCCCAGGGGCAGCATGAGCATTACGAGCCTTAAGAGTGGCAAAAATGTTGGCGCCCGTGATTGGCGGGGGGTTCCAAGGATGATTCTCTCTCGAAAGATAAGGCCAAAGCACTTTGAGGACCTCGATGTGGTCGTCATGACCAATGTTGGCAGCAAAAATGCTATCCCATTGCTCGTTGATAGTGCACAGGGCATCATTTGGTTGATAAACAATATGCCCTTGTTGATCAATGACGAGGTTGTTGGGCTGATCTTGTGCTTTATTCTTGAGGTGGTGATAAATGTAAGCTCGCGTAGACTTGGCGGAAGCACGAATCTTGTCTTTCCAGGCATTGATGCGCTTGAGCTTGAGGTCATGCTCACACTTCTCAATCTGACACTGGAGCCAGAGATGGCATTCATGCAGTGTGATTAACGACAATCGACACTGGGAGTGGAAACGAAAGATAACAGCCTGTGCAACCTAATCCTTGCATTGTGCAAAATGTCACACTCCTTATCCGAAAGGTGTGGTTTGGCGACTTTGGATTGGATGTCAAAGACCTTGGCTCTAGCATTATGTAACCAGGAGAGGTGGAGAGTGGTTGCGGCACCCGAGGGCATTTGGCCCGGACAATATTGCTTGGATTGAAAGATCGGTGGGGCTGCACGCTTACGAACTCCACTTGCCCAGGTTGCACCTAAGGTGACCAATGCGGAAACCGCATGCTGGTTGATGTCAAACCAAAGTTCTTCAGGCACATGACTGTTAAATTGGGAGGTCAGGGCCGCATCCCACTTAGACTGTTGGCATTCATAATCACCGGGGCATGATGGTTTCGCCACATGTGAGGTGTCAAGGGCAGCGAACTTAACATGGATGGGCCCAACCTGGAAAATGGGCTGCCAGTCAAAAGTGGCCCGGACAGGGCGGTGCTGCTTCTGGGACCAGTCAACTGTCTCAATGGTCTTTAGACAGTTGAAAGCGACTTGATTCATGAGGATGCCATCAATAGAAGAGCAGTGTTCCCCAAAAGCGGTGAAAGAACAGTCACGGCTATAGGTGATGGGTCGGTCAGGGGACCCGTCCTCCAGGTAATTGGTAAGTGGGTCAAACCAATTGGCAAAGTGCACAGCAGAGGCAACCGAAGGGTAATGGAGCGGTGCCAATTGAAAATCACCAACAACCAGGACAGGGATGTCCCCAAATTGACTAGCAATCTGCAAAACATCGCGAAGGAGTTCGTCATTGAACTGGAGGATGTCATGAGAAGCCGAGGCCCCCGATTTGCCATAAAAGTTGAAAATAAGGATCTTGAGCGAGGGGAGAATTTGATACCAGGTGGCTTGGACACGCTTGGAATGAAAAACCCCTTCAAAAAGACCTGAGCAATCATCCGAGTTATGGAAAGGGGTCGAAAGCTGGGAAGGAGCGATCATAGCAACACCACCATGCGACGTGGAACCTGAC